CCGTGCTTTGTTATATATTACTGAACAAAAAGGGGCCTTCTTGTGTGGGTTCCATGGTCTTCTGTWTGTGATGTCAGGTACTGCATTCGTTGTTCTAACTAAAGGTAAACACCTTTACTTAATAACACGGACTAATTGGTTTGGAAATATTTATGAAAGTGTTGATTTTTAAGGCTAAATATAGTGCTATGGCTTTTTAAACTCATTCTGGCTGTCAGAAATGCTCACATGATCCTGGAAGTGTTGCTAAAAATGTTCAATTTTTAAATACGGTAATTAAAATTGTCTGTTGTGAGAGCAGTAGATGAGACATTTCCTGCATTTGTAAGCTAAGCATCCCTTTCACCCCCAGGTTTCCTTGCATCTCACTGTTTACATTGGTGGGATCTGAACTCTCACTGAACCTCCTTGGAAGAAGGTTTGCTGTTGGCCAAGCAGGGAGAGGGAGCTCTGCAGCCTGCCACCCTGCCCCATGACCTTCTCATACCTTTCCTTTGTTTTGAAAAGCTGATGCCCTCAGGGAATACAGTACTGGAAACTGGAACTTCAGACATACATTTTCACTTTTAACTTTGTTAAAAGGAAGTCTCAGATAAAGATACTTTTCCTTGGGTATACCAGACTGCTTGAGTCCTAATTTGAAGGTGTACTTCCTCTATTAATAGATGTTATTTATTTCCTTCAAGTTTATTGCTAGTTTGATGACCATTTTATACTCCAAGTATATCCTGCACTCGRTATTTTCTCCTCCTTTATTTAGAGTCCCTATTTTCTAAATTGAGATTTTTCTCATGTTGGTTATTGTATAACAAGAAGTTTTTTCAGAGAAGATAATGTTTTTTTTGCTACACAGCTTTTCTAAAAATGTTGTACTGCCAAATTTATGCTACCCAAAAACTTATTTGTCTTAAGAATGAATTGTATTCTGCCCAACAGACTTGAGGTGATTTAGGGCCCTTCTATGGCCACTGGTGGCCTGTGAATATTTCTRAAGTTTTCTTGCTGAGCTTGGTGGTATAGTCTGCTCTTGCATGAATGTGCAAACTTCTGCTGTGGAAGAACCTCAGCAAAAGATTTTTTTTTAGCTGAAATGGAATTCAAAACTACACTATGGTTAGAGTTTAGGTAGAAAATGGATGTAGTGCAGTTTTTTTTAAGATAGCAAAACCCAGGTTTTTGTGGTTGCAAAGATAGTGAGAAAACAGAGCAGTGGGGCTGGTGGGCAGCCTGGCTGTTCGGGCCACTGCTGTGTTGGTAACACAAATGGTTGGCTTGGCTGTTTGCAGTCAATTCTGTCTCTGTCTCCATTCCTTGCCAGAAATGGATACTTTCATGTCTCTGTCCAAAAGTGCCCCTGTTGTTTTTCCCTCCAGTATTTTGTGGTTTTTATGAAATGAGCCTTTTCAAAAATTAAAGTAAATGCCTGTAGACTTCTATCATACTCGCTAAGCTCAGTGAGCCCATGACTGATTCCATTGTATTTATTGCTGGGTTAATATATGCCCATGCTGACTGATGAACTGAAAAGAGTGAATGTTCACAAAATAGAAAATGCTACTGTTGGTACATACTCTGTCACTCTTGCTACTGCCTCATGTATGTGTTTACCTAACTTGAGAGCTGTCACATAATGAATACAAGACTCTTCCTGGCATTTGGGTTGCAGTTGTTTGCAGAGGGCTGTTATTTAATAGACTCACTCTTTTGTGCTTCCATTCTAATTTGAAGAGCATGCTTTTAGTAGCACTAAGAAGAAATGCTCAATTCAAGTTATCCCTATGTAAATAAATTTTAAGACTTCCCCTGTTCTTAGATGTATATACTTCCTTGGCTTTTGTTTTTACCACACCATTTTTCATTTTATACCTGTATCCTAAGTGAAAACTGCAATTCTTCRCTGTAAATCTGTTACAGTGTCAGCTGAATTTGAGTCAAGGTTTGTTAGTTGTATCATTAATTCTGCTACTATTGAGAAACTGACAATCAGTCTTTAAAAACTGAACAAGAGATTGAGCATTTTTTGTGTGTATTGGATCATTGTCTTTTGACAGTGTCTTTAATTGTCGTTTTTGATTTGCTGTTATTCTGCTCATTTGTCAGGAGTTCATCTGTTTAAATTTACTCTGCCTCTAATGTAATGCTGAAGTATGAAAGGAATTTGTCCATTTGTAGTGATTGTTACGTGGCTGAAGGTCTAATGCGATTCTCAGAGAGCTCAGTTGTAATGTCAGTGTTATGATTCATGTTTCCTTGATCAGTTAAGCCTTTAAATATATCTGGCTTTGTGTTTACTGACTTGAGCATGTGATAATATGTGATACATGGGAGCACTACATGACTGCAAATCAAAACAGGCAGTGGTGTGCAGGATGGGGGCTCTGACACTGAACTTTTTCTGAAATCCTTCAGCACACTTCAGTCCAGTCAGGATAGGATAATTTTTCTTTAGAAGCTTTTACCCTTAAATTTAAACAATCAAAACCCCCCCCACCACAACAAATAAACACACCAACCCAAAAAAACTCAAAAAAAACACAAACAAAAGAGGAAAAAAAAAAGAAGAAAAAAAAAGCTGTAATTGCATTATGGTCTCCAAACTTCATCCTGTAATTCCTCACTTAAGTTTTATCTTGTGGAAAGGTTAAAATGTGGACATGTGTGACTGTCAGGTGCCTCACAAAACTACTCCCTTATTTTCTGGCACAGGAATGATCATACCTTGAAACACAGGAGAMAKGTTTATAMAMCTGTTTTTAAAGCTGTCTTCCAAARGTCTGATACCCCTAGTATCTATGATAATCCTCTCATCCAGCTATAAGATACTTTCTGCTGGTCTGGCCTTCAGCAGAAAAGAAAGCTGTTTGTTGCCATCTTTCTGGAAGGAMCTCTTACTTATCTTGGAGTGTAACTGTGCTCTTAACAATGTTGTGCTGTGCCACAAATCARATTGAAGGATGAGATTATACTTGTTGATCAAAAAATGGTTCCTTGTGCTCAAAATCTGTGAATCGGTCAACAGAAACAAGAAATGAGATTGTGTTCTGAACATCAGTTTCATCATTGCTGTGAAATCTGTTTCCCAAGAAGTGGGAGACACGGGACAAGCAGGGATGTAATCTCACCACAGCAAAAAAAAAAAAAAAAAAAAAAAAAAACAAAAAAAAAAACCAGTAACCAAAAGCCCAGAAACAGGAACAGGATTAACATAGTTTATGTAGATGCAAGGGGAGCTTCAGACAGCAAAACAGTTCTGAAGCATGAGTAGCATGTTCTCTGTCATACACTGTGTTGTAGCCAGTGTCTGGAAGAAAAGAGTCTAGTTAATTCACCACCCTTAATCTGCTCATGGCGTGACTATATCTAACTTTCCAAAAAGAAGAGCCTTGGTAGCACCAAAGTTTTTAGTGGCTGGCTACCAGAGGTTAGCTTTGTTGGGAGCRTTATTGTTAAGAGGTTTGTCTGCTTCCAGTGGATGCTGCTACCAAGAAACTTTTTTTAAAGCTTTTGTCAATATGAGATTTGAAYATATGAAGGCTGTGTGTCTGATTTCTGCTTGAGGTTGAGTTCTTGATTTACAAGGTTAGTATGGAATATACTTCATATTACAAGAATTGTTCCATGACATGTGGTTCCACTGTGAAAAGTCATGGGAAGAGATGGAACATACTCAGTACACAGCTTTTAAAAATGGTTCTTTATTAGTGACAGGAGTTCACTTTGAGTGAGCTATGTTGGTCTTGCAGTTGAAGCCAAGTATGTTGGCTTCTGCTCTAATTAACACACAAAGAGCATCRCTACCAATATTATAGGTTCAAAAGCACTATGTGAACCAAAAGGAATCCAGCTTGATTTATATCTCAAGGGTCTGTTTGCAAGGCTGCTCATGATTTTGAAGCACAAAGCAACGCACACTTGCCCCCAACTCCCTTGATACTTATAAACTAAAAATAATTTCTGCAAATCTTTGATGGACTGGAAACACCAAACCTTTAAAGGCATCTTTTGAGTAGAGCCATCTTCTGAGAGAAGTTGGAACTTCTRATAACCAGTGTAGAACTTCTATTGAAAATTAAATTACCTATCTAGTTGGCTTTGTTCTTTGAAATTAATTTATAGCATTGCTACAKTTTGCTTTGAGACAACTTAATATGGCAAGTGTATACACTGGGAAACTGTACCACTGCAACAACAACAACAAAAATGATTAACTTTAAGCTTTATCTAGTTAAGATCAGGCTCTGAATTGAATTCTCTTAGTGTGTTGACAGCTAAAGATTTATGTCTTCCAGCTCTRTTCCTGTTGCAGAGTTGACAGAAGTGACCTCTCCAAAAAAGGTTTTTGTTACAGATTTTGCTCTGTTTACATTATTGCCATAAGGGTTGGGATGAAGTACAGTATGTTAAAGCTAATACATCACCTGCTGACAGTGGTCTTATCTCATTGGTAACTATTTCCCTCTCCCAGTATTAAAAAAATGCAACCATTGAGTGTAAGGATCACAAAAAGAAAGTTAAAGAATAGTTTTCAACCCCGTATTTTTGTGTCTGACTGTTGAAATGGCTGTGTAATTTCTTTTTCTGGGAAGTTAATGTGAAAATATGTCTTTGCCAGATAAATGCTAAGGGATAGAGTACTTTAAAAAAAAAAAGCTATTTGGTTTACTCCAAATGTGTGATTCCCTGGGAGAAAAGAGGAGGCTCGGAGTGGGAAAGAATGCCATTCAGGTTAGATAGGCAGAGAAGAAAGTAAAGTAGTAGCACAGGCTTCTCCACTGGAAGGGTGATGAGACTGGCAGAGGAGCWGGACTTAAGACACCTCCTGTATCTCCAAATGCTGTGTCACAGGTGCTGCATCCAGAATGGGTCACTGTCAGTGAGATGTTGTCACATTATGACTGACTTTGTCTTCCAAATTCAGACTCAAAAATACAAACACAGCATTGTTCTATATGCATAACTGTGTCCAYAGTTTCAATATGTGCTTTGAAATCTCTCAACAGGGTACTTCCCAGGCRTCCTTTCAGGATGGGGAGATGAACGTCACTAGACCCACAGAGCTGCTCTTGGCTCAGAGGGCCCGGTTCCCTAGCAGGTAGGAATATCTGTTTGTTGCTGCCTCAAGTGTGATTTATCAATTTATGCAGTACAAGACTGACTTCTCATTCCAGCTGCACCTCTGGTTCTGCATTGTGCTTYTCCYATGAYCTCTTTCCCCTTCCCCCTTTCCCACCCTAAATTTGCATTCGATTCACATACTGGAGCACATATTTGAGCATGACAGTCTTTTTACCCTCTTTGATGTATATGAATGGGGTTTTTTTGTGCTTTTTGTAGTATAAAGGTAAGGGGGGAATGACACCATATTACTTGGGTTTTGATTTCTATTCGGTCCTGCAAGTGTTTTATGTCTTAACATAGAGGATGCTCTTAATTCATGTRTTTCAATAAATAACCATTTAGCTGAACCATATAATCCTAAAATGATCCTCTTCAGCTTAAGTGTCACCTCTGGTATTGAGTGGTAAGGTTATTACTTTCCTATATCCTGTCGTAGATTTTATATCTGTGTTTGTACACTGTGAAAACTATTGCTAATATTTGCAATATTTCCCTATGAAKTGCTTCACTACAGTAGTCAGATGGAATGAATCCTTTTCTTCTCTTCATTTCTAGCAAACTAGAGATGGTCAGTRCTGTTGTATCTGAAGTGGTCATGGTCCCATTGGCAGTTTGGGAAATAACTTTTATTTTAACCAGTCTATATTTTGAACAAAACTTAGGTAAATATATAATCTGCCTTTGAAATCAGTAGAGTAAAACTGCATAGATGAAGCAGGAGGAAGGGAAATTAGGTGTTCTCMAAGTTCAGTAATGAGCAACTGTGTTTATTGCTCCTGAAATCACATGGAAAATTCTAAATGGCTGAAATGAAATTGAAAAATAATGATTKTGCAGACAGCATTGCTTACACCAGATTATCAAGCCAGGCTGCCAGCGTGTCATAGAGTAGGTTAGTCAAATCCTCAGTGGTAGCATTGGGGGAGTTAATCTGGTAAATTCAGAGCAAATTGTTTTCAATTTGCTGTTTTCCTGTCTCATCATAAGCTTAAATTTCAGTTTTGACTGCTCATCCAGGTTGTGCTGAAATAACCTTTTTGAGTAGGTAGAGGAATTCAGTACTTTGACCAGTATCTTGTGTTTGTTGTAGAACTCTTGTGGTATATATAGYACATTGTATAATTAAATTAAGAAGTGTTACATGACAAACTTCTGCATGACAGCTAAAATGTGAAAAATTAATCTGTTTCAATTTTGATGATAGTCATTTGGTATAATTCTGCAGCTTATAGTTGTTTGTCAAAACAGTATAAAATAAAACTCATTAAATAAACAGTATATGCATGTGTTAATCTTACAGCATTCATCCTCACAAAAACCTGAGAAAAAACAAGAGTGGAAATTCCCATTTTACCTACATGATGTCTGGGAAAGAGGCATGAATATGTACCCCATGCCTTTGGGTGTATACACAAGAGCAAGGACTCTAACGTTGCTGGTGGTCTGGACCATACCAGAATCTGGGAAGGATTGTTTTTTCTTCTTTCAGAGCATGTCCAAAACTTGTCTTTTTCTCACCAGGGAGTTAATTTCTTAGTTTTCTTGTTCTTTGAATCATAATTTCAATAATTTTAWGGGTAATTTTATCATCTTGGTAGAGCTGTGTTTCTCAGCTCAATCTGCCTGGGTTTTTTCYTCCCTCTTGGAGGCCTCCTTGTCACCCAGTGCCTAGGCCATTTTGTAATTTCTTCTCCTGCCTGCCAATACTGATACATATTTTTAGAAAGGTCTCATCATGAAAAGGACCTGGAGTGCTTTCCCAGCTTTCTCTGCACCTGCTGGGCCTCTGACTTACATGCCTGCTGATTAGTGTTCATCATGCAGGTATAGAACTTYGTTTAGTTGCTAATGCTTATTTTCTCTTCATGGAATGTTGCTAAAGACTTCTGCAGCTTGTTTCACCTGAGGTAATTATTATGCATCACCAAATATATGCACTCATTTGTCTCTTGATCCGTTAATTTGTAATGGGGATTAATCAAGCTCTGTGCACACTCTGTTCATATTTACTGTTCTTCTTATGCTTTTAGTAGGGTGTTTTAGACTATGTAAGTCCTCTTAGGAATTTTCTGAGAGCATATTATTGTTTATCGAGTTAAACAATTTGTTGCTTGCATTTGGGATTCTTCTGAAGAAGGTTATGATACTTGTTTGCTTCATAATTCTGGGGCTATTGGAAACATTGACAGTGACAAAAACCCTTGTGATACTTTTCAGAGGTATTCCATTTTCTGTAATGGCAAGGTTTTCCCTGGTATGTCACAAACCAGACTCTAATAAGCTTAGCTTTCTGTAGAGCTCTTTAAATTTTTGCTGAATTCTGCAAGCTGTCTTGACATAGGAGCATGGAAGGAAAAATAATAAAGAATATACATTGGGACTCACTTGATTGATGTGTGAGCATCAAAGTGTTGAACAGATAGGGAGCAGAGGGAAAGCTGGCCAGAACAGGCAAGAATCTTCCCAAGAATCTTTTTGCATTGGTAATACTTTTTTTTTCCTTTTTTTGAGATGAATTGTCTTAATCTCAATTGAGATTGCATTCAGGAAAAACATTGGCCAAAACCAACAAAACAAATGAAAACCAAAACAAAATGGAGAGAAAGGAGCAGTGTTTCTTTAAATACAGAGTCACAGTGGAATAATTCTACCAAAATACACTTTTCTTGTGGTTCCTGTGTCCTGAGGAGACTTTAAAAAACGTTTTGCCTACAAGAATTGAGATGAATACCATGAAGACATTTTCCCTCAAAATTGTGAATGGTATTGTAGTATTTGTAATATATTCCACTTTCTTCAAATAGTGAACATTAGAGAAATTCTGAACACAGTATTTTGTAAAGCAAAGTTAGTTTGTAGCTCTATGGAATTTCAAAAGTCAAAGAATATATAAATTTTATAGCAACGATTTTGATTTTTGTTTGGCTTTTTTCTTATAAGTCAAGTTTTTTAAACTGTTTTTCCAAAATTGTTTTCATTAGGAGTAGAAGGTTTATAAAGGGAAATAATGACTCACTAGAGACCATCTGTCTGTCTCAATTATCTTTGTTTGATTGACTGCAAGTAACGAAGGTTTTATTAATAAAATAATATTAAATGATAAAACTTTTTTTTTTCCCCAAGCAGTAAACCAAGCATCTTAATATCTAATTTATCTCCTTTTATACTGTTSTTGCTGAAAGGAAGTGTTACTTATAATTCTGATCTATTCAGGTATTTTTCTTGTATTTTAATACCGTTAGGGMCATGAGGGACCACCAGGTCATGAACTTTAACCCTTCATTTAAATAAGCCACATTAAGTGATTTTAATAAAGGTAATATTTCATTCTAATTATGAGCTACTCCATGCTGTGGACAAAAGGCTATGTAAGAAAGAAAACTGCTACTGTTCCTGCTGCTTTCACTGCTTTCCTTCCTGACACTGGGTTTGCTAAACTTTAAGGCCTACAGTGCCTMAGCAAAATTGCATCTCATCACCTGAGAAAATGATCTGAGTCTTCTCATCACAACCAGCGTGTCTGAGATCAGAGTCCCTTTTTAACTGCAGCCAATAATGGGTATTTCAGAGGGAAGCAGAAAAAAAGAATACCGTGATTAATATTTTATGATTGAAAAGCCTACTCAGTTGAACTTTAAGGCTCCACACTTGGATTATATTCCTCACTCAAGTAGGAAAACTGTTTCRTCTGAAGAAAGTCGGTTCACTAGTTTAAGTGCTTGAAATTAGCTGAATATGGGGCAAATGAGTGCAATATGGAGGATTTTTGGCTTCTCTGTTCAGAAGTTAATGGGAAGTCTCTTGCCTGGATTCTCTTAAACCATTTCACTGCAATACTAATGGGAAACTTTTCAGAACTGTATGCTTTGGGAGTCTGAAAATTTTAATTTGACTTTATGAGAGTTGAACTTTACTGTAGGAGAGACTTGGAGCTTTTGGTCATTGAAATGTTTTTCAATGGAATAAATAATGACAATCCTCTTGTAAATTCTGGAGATAACTTTTTTTTTGTTGTTGTTTATTTGCGAGTGAAGATGATGTTCAGGGTAAAGAAAGCCAAGCTAATGCCATGAGTGTATGAAATTTTGTTTTCTCCTTGCCTCCTTTCATGTTCTGTACTAGATCTGAAAGATTTTCATAGTAAGAACAGGATCTTGATACTCTGTAGATGCTCAGGTGGATATTTGTCACAGCTTTTAACRTGTGATTCCTTAGCGTACTGTGCATGGGAATATTAGTTTTGAAAACCTAGCTTTTCTTAGTAAAAATGGCTGTGCTAAGGAACAGTAAAAACGAATCTGCATGGAAGTGGTTGTTTAGCTTAATAGCAGTGGATTAGTTGGAACTTAAAGGGTAATTTATGCATAGATAATTCATTATGTGTTTTCATTATGTTCAGTTTTACTGTCTYCCCACTTCTTTTTAGCAGGGGTCAGGGTCAGTTCCTTGGTTTAAGCACTGTCGATACAATAATTAAGTGTAGCTGAAGCATATCTTCCTCCTCTGCATTTTCCAATTTTTAACCTACTGTGTCTTTCATTAGTCTAACAACAAAGAATTTAAACAATCTGATTTAAAGAAAAAAGAGTGACAAAGCTCCAGTGCTTGCAGGCTGTTTGATTTCTCTCTAAAACTTCAGGGTTAATCTTGTGAGAGCTAACTAATTTTAGTGAGGAAAAGAGTCTGGAATAACTAGATTAATGCATTTCAGTTAGGAGAAGGTGATTTGTTTTCTTTTCAAACCTGGAACTGGAAGATTGTTTCATTTCTTCACYGGAAGACATTATTTTATAGTAAATATTTGAACTTTGTGGATAGTTTGCTTAGTTTTGTGTAGAATGGAGCAGCTGTTGTGTTCCTGTCTCTTATATAAGAGCAACCAGTGTCCTTAACTGTACCTGAGAGCTTATCCTTGACTGCACATTGAGTTGCTTTCTCTTCTCCTTGTAGGGTACTTTCTATCCCTATTTAGATATTGTTCAGATTTTCATCTTTGAGCATGCTCACTCTGTATAACATCTTGACTTCCAGTTTCTTCTTCGGGGCTTTCAAAACATTTTCAACAAAGCTTTGAGCATCTAGTTGAACAGGGGGAAGGACAAATGTGAAAAAGGGAAAGGGGGTGGGTGGGGAATCATGCTGACAGCTTTAGTTAAGCTGATTGTGGTGGAGGTCTTGTCTGGAAGAATGGGCACAAATTCTTTATTATCATCAGTAACTGTATTGGTTTAGTATGTAAAGAAATACATGGACAGAGTCAGAGTCATCACTCTCTTTATCTGGATAAATCTATCCATGCTTCTTCTTTCAAATCCTCCTTAGGAATTTGACATCCCCAGTAGGCCTGTGCTCACTACCAAATGAACACCCTTTGTCAGTGGATGCTCTCTCTGCTGGAATGGCAGCATTGGAGGAGGAGACATGGAAYGGGAGGTGCAAGTGAAGAATAAGCAAGGAGATACAGCTTAATAACTGCATCTACAAGCTCTCTACATCTGACTGACATTTAATGTSCCTTTTACTTGGCCATGATCAATAAAAACATCACAAAGCATGTTCAGAATATCAGCTGTGCTTTTCTGTTTCCAAGGGAAACATTGACATTCTGCAATAAGAGATTTTTTTTCAGATGTGGCATCTTACTAATCTGTACCTTTTCTTAAAAATGCTTGAGAAAGTGTTGAATATGACTAAAATTGCAAAGGAAAATGCCATWGGAATGGTAAATACTTTATGTGTTTACTCAGGCAGTAGACTCTTGTGACATACACATGATGACAAGTTTTGCCCAGTAACCCATGCAGTAAGCAGCTTTTCTGAGGTACTGTCTTTGTTRTGCTGTAAAACAGTTTATCTGCTTTAGGCTACTGCATTCTCCAAGAGAAATCCTACCAAGATTCTCTGAGCATTTGTGACTGGGGAAGGTCAAAGCACCTCAGTAAACTCGGTCTTGCTGCACAATGCAAAGTGTTTCTTTCTGGAGAGAGTTCCCTTTTAAGCATCTGTTGGCTCTGTGGTGTCTTGTTACATAGTTTTCAGAGAAGCTTTCAGCCAACAAATCTTTTCCCTTTGTGTAACTCCCAAACTGCTAATTCTTGATACAGATTTCAGGAGAAGGAGCTATAGTATTCCACAGTGAGGACACTGCAAATCKGWGGATCAGATTGATTCAYCACTAAGTATGACCACTAAATGTGYAGCACTCCATTGAAATATTGCTTTCCATGTTGCCAGTGCTGTTCASWCWCWMYACAYGTGTACCCCTTCTCTCTCTTTACTGAGCAACATTTTTAATAGCATGCATGGCAGCCTTCCTGACAAATGTGATAGATGGTAAAGAATGTCAGAATTCAGTAACATCAAGCAAAGTAGAATTTAAATAGTAAATGATGACAGTTTCTTCAGATTAAAAATCAGTCATGCAGTGTGGAACATGGTCTTGCATCAGGTCATGCTGGCCAGGTGTTCTCCCTTGAGTGAGATCTGAGGTTCCTTCAGTGCAGCAGGGGAAGGGAGGTGCCAGCATGCGTTGGAAAAAGCCTGAGTGCTGTGTTGGGGTGAACCCTGCAGTTCAGACAAATTTCACTGACAGAAATGCTTTTTAAAAGTTCACTTACTTTGTCTGCTGTAAGAATATATCATATGTATGTATTCTATAGAGCCTGGGTTCCAAGTTCAGCAAGGACAGTGTTTCTTGAGGTAGGAGCTCTGCTCCTTGGAGGACAARCAGGAGATACTCAGAGTGTACCCTCTGTGTATCGCTCACTGRTGCTCCCAGCCTCTCATCCCCAGCTAGCAACTGTACTCCAAATCTTTTATACTGACTTGATAGGCCACACTTGTGCAAAAGGCATTTAAGATCTGTAGGGGAGATTTAAAAGAGGAGTAGGTCATGAGTAGGTCACTAACTTCTGGAATTTAATTATTTCCTATTTTGGGATTTGTTTGTTTTTAAGATGTGTTGCATATTGCAGAAAAYCTATCAATTGAACTCTCTGTTGTCACAGCTATCAACCTACAGTGGACAGCAATTCTGCTTTCTCCYACTCCTTTAAATTTTTTAACCTACTCCRTGAAACTGAAGAGTCCTAGCACCTTTGTGTGCCATGTGCCTGTGGAGTTTAGTAATTRGTATTCTTAGAGTTCATCCTGTATAGGATCTCACTCAGCCATGCCCATTCCTGAATACTTTCTCCAGTRTACTATAAAATGTAAGCCRGYGTGMAATAGTACCGTGCTGAGTTCAGCTGTCCTTGTGGGCAGATTAAACCTGCCCAAAGAGGGACAGAACAAGTGAATGATACCAAATGTGTCTGAATCTCTAATCTCTGAGGCTCTTAAACAAATAAAAAAAGCAAATCAAATTCCAGATATCCTGATTTTTAAAATTTGTAACTGTACTGCTTTCATAGGTATAATAGAAAAATAGCGTGTCCTTAAAGATCCATAGAAATGGCTGTTTTCTTCTCGGATGTAACTAAGAATCCCATTTGTTTGTTTGAGAATGAGAAGTATTTAGTTCATGGATTTTTGATTAAAAATATAATTCCAAAGTACCTTTCTTAATACACATATWAAAGTGCACTCTTATTCCACACATTTAGGGCTCTAGAACATCCATAAGTTTTAGGGTGTACCAAAATTTTTTTAAGTAATACATAACATGCATATGGCTATTTGTTTTCACAAAGAAGCCTGTTTTTCTTATTGTGTAGATTTCATGTTAGGTTTAAAAATAAGCTTCTATGTTTTCTTGGGCTTTGAGTGTTTTTATAACTGTAAGTGTATTGATTTAATATGACAACTCACCTATCTGTCGTGCTGGTTCTCAAAAAAATTCCTACTCTGTTTTACAGTTGCTTGGGAAGACAACTCCTCCCTAGYGTACACAGGGTTATTTGGGGACAGCTGTAACTTACTTAAATTTTCCCTGTACTAATGAAAGCCCATTCACTACTGCTGATTATTTTCCAAACCTAAAGGGTTTGGCTACTTAATTAACTTATGGGTTTTGATTTTCTAGAACTTCAAAAGACTATAAAAGTGACCCTTTAATTATCTTTCCTTGTGTATTAAGAGAATTGGAGGAAGTAGAAGATGGAACTGGAAGAGGAGTTAATTGCATTCATTGTTGAGGTTTTTGGTAACCACCCTGATTAGCTTTTCTGACCGGTTTCACTAGAGAAAAATCTATGTAAAAAAAACTTACAGGAAGATTTTGTCAGGATTGATGAAGATGGGGAATACAGGAAAGAAAAATCCACAAATGCCTGTTGATGGTGCCTGTGTTCTAAATACAGTAACATGTAAATCTGTTGCATTGGGATCAATGGTGGTTTGTTGTTCAGGGTCTTTCCATCTAATATTTACAGAACATAAATTCATTACAGTGCCAGCTTTATTGGAAGAACAGTTTACAAAATAAGAAAGCTCTGCAAAATTCACTCTGTCCTTTAACTTCATTAAAAAAAGTCTTATAAATTTATTTTCCAGTCTTACTCCATATTTAGCCAATCAAGCTAAGAATTATTGTATCTGGGTCAAGTTGCTTCTCATTAATCATTATGCAATGGAGGTTCATAACAACAACAAAATATTCCTGTGTTATTAGGAAGCAATGCCAGCATTTGTCTAAGGTCATKTGCAGTAATTGTGAGAGGGCTTAGCTGTGCCATGTGGATTTATGATGTACCTGATGTGGTGTAACTGTGTGTTGCCTCTTCATGGGTAGTCACAGATTCCTGATGGGTGRTTTACTGATTCTTGCATCAAATCAAATTATCATAAGATCATGGGTCAGCAAAATGAGTCAGCTGGTGCCAGAGAAAGTTGTGGTACTTGGAAGAAGGAACATGATCTGCTGAAACAGACATTACTAGTTTGGTATTTTTTAAAGTTCTAGCCGGTTCAAGTACCTTCCTTTTCAAGTCATGGTCACCCAGAATAGTTAAGGTCACAGGAAGGCTGGCAGTGTAAAATAGTCTATAGGAAATGAAACAGCACATGCCATGAAAGAGCAAAAATCTGTCAGAGATGATATAGATGTTATTCATAGTGGTGTCTGAGGAAGGAAATTTCTTGATAAAATGAGCTGAGTTGCCTTACTGATCACAATTTTTGTTCTTTGTTTGTCAGGGAGGTTGGATGCAACTGAGGCAAGAAATCAGGAGATTAAACTATGATTTGATTTTATAGGCTTGATRTCCTTTATTTGTGATCTTCATGTTTTTAATGTGGCCATGTGGGAAAATTGACTGAAGCAGCTCACATGGAGCTTAAATTAAGAATAAAATAGTAGAATAGAATAATAAAATAACCTCCCCCCCTTTTCTTTTTGATGATGAAATCTCTCCTTACTTAAAAGTTTATTCTTTAATATTCTTATTAATTTACTTGAGGGTTAGCTTAGTAAAATGTCTAGTATTTGATTTCTTTCCCTTTTTTAAAAAAACACAAATGCTAATCTAAAAAAATTAAAGACTTTAATGGCTGTTTTAGTTTTATTTTCATACATTAGTTAGCTCTGAGTTCAATATTTTTTCTATCCTTTCTGCTATCTGATCAATCAGGATTTTTTTTTAATATAGAGAATTCTCCAAATAAGTATATGAGATGTGTTTCCCTGTGCTCCTTTTTAGTGAAATGACAAAAACAGTGGAGATTTCTGGGGAAGGTGGACCCTTGGGAATACATGTAGTGCCATTTTTTTCATCCTTGAGTGGAAGGTAAGATATTTTTTCATTGCTCAAGAATTATATTAATGAAAGTATTTCAGTTGTGCTTTTCTTTAAATGTTTTTTTTAAGAAAAAGTCCTTTGCTGTTAACCAAAAGAAAAACAAAAGTTGGCCTATGACACTGTTATCCATTACCAAAATGTTTTCTAGTCCAAGTCCTGTCTGTATAAGATAACCACAGAATCGTTTAGGTTGGAAAAGACCTCAAAGATAATTGAGTCCCACCTTTGACTGAGCTTTACCTTGTCAACTAGACCATGGCACTGAGTCAGACATTCAGTCAATGCCAACATCTTTGTTCATATATGCCCTTATAATTGTCTTTGGTTTCATTCTCTGAATGGTCAGCTGGAGTCAGTAGTTTTGTTGTGTTGTTGTGGCTTTGTTTGTGTTTGTTGTTTTGTTTTGTTTTTCCTAATTGAATGTCTCTGCATAGGCCCTTCCTCAGGGACATACCAGACAAGAAGAGTCAAAAAGATTGCTTCCCTGCTCACACCTTCTATTTTTCAAGCCATCTTTCAGATTTGGTTGTATAGCATTTATCAAATGTGCTCTGTACCATGAACTTTTCTTTGTCACGAGACAATTACTTTAATTATAAATTATTTAAGGTAGTCCATTGAGATCACAAAAGCCTATTATAGCTGCATGCTCATATTGATGTGCTGTAGTTAAGACTGTGTCAGCATTTTCATTATAACTGTTTTCCAAGCTATGTAACTTGGATGTGCTAAAAAAAAATCTAGGCTGAAATTTGACATACAAAGGCTTAGCCAGAGAGTTAATTTATTCACTGGCAGCCTTGAATAAGAGATAGGAAATTGCTAGAGCCATAAATGACTTTATAGTAAAATGGCTGCCTAGAACACAGACAATTATGGCAAAAGCAAAAATTGTCTAATTCTTGAATATTTCTTTACTTGTCAGCTTTYATGTAGGACAGAGAATGTGAAGGATTTAATTACCTCATAAAGGTCTGTTTTCTTGGCAAGGTCTGAAATTGTAAGTGGACCCAAATTAATTCAGACTGCTTTATTTACCCAAAGGGAAAATAGATGTCCACCTGCTGCCTGTAAGAATGTCATCACTGTCTCAAGAAGAAGGTTGGTCTTTGATGGCAGCTGTAGGAAATCAGAGTTGTGCCCTTGGCTATGTGGGCTGCCTGTTTGTCTTGAGAAAGCCACTCGTGTTTGCTGCCCATCCTGAAACAGAGATGGTCATTCTTTGATATAGGTGTGCCATAAAGGTTGCAGTGTGTGCACTGTATTTCTAGATCATTGGTAAAAAAAATTTGATGAGATTGCAAGTTATTAAGGTCTGTARTTATTGTGACTGCAATTCAGTTCTGTACTCAAGCACTGTACTGTGCTGCGTGCAGTTTTTAAAGACCTCCATAAAGAAGTGTTCCTTGGTCAACATTGCATTCACGTTAGTTTGTCTGTACTTACAAATGCCTTTGGGCAACCCCTGGAGTAGAGGGATCTTKGACAGACGAACTACCTGTTGTTTAGGCAGTTGTCTTGAAATTTTAGTGACCCTTGGCAGAACTGTGCTGATACCTTTGTTAAAGCAATGGACTGACTTAAATTGGCCTGACCCTCTTTTTTAAATCTAGCCTAAACTGTAACTCATCATAAAATGAGAAAGCACRTGAGAGCATCTTTTATTTCTTTTGGTGACATGATAGAATTTATTAGGGCATGCTGGCTATGACTAACTGGGTCTGGTATTTCAAYTGTAAAGTTGTCTTCTAACAAGGTAATGCTGGCTCTAGCCTAGTAGTGCTGGAGAGCAAAGTTTTTCTACAGGTTGTTAAAACATCATATTAATTTACAAAATCTTAGTTTATACAGGAGCTATAAAACTAATGGAAATAATGCACCACCTTTCTTTTGCACTTAAATATTATTAAAAATAGGAAATGAAAATTTAACAGTGCATTAAAATAATGCTAAAATTTAGGCTGTGGAAAAAAAGTAATGGAGGAATGAATTTAAGCTGCCTCTGTTTTTAATTCAAGCCACTCAGGCAGTACAGCACACACAAGTTTGAGACAAGTAGGCAATCCTATTGCATTATATGAATGCAGTATCTAAGCACACAGGGTTATTGAGCAACCAACTTAATTTTTAATTTCCTTTCTTTCATTGGTTTGCATTTTAACACAGTTGTATTGAATTAGTTCTTAGGGTTTAGGTTTTTGATTGCCATTAGTTGGGTGTCATCAAAAGGGCCATAGCCCCTCACCACCACTGCCCCTTTGAATCCTTTAAGGAAGGATAACACTGGGTGCAATTAAATCTTTATGCCACTGAAACACTTTTTTCTGTTAGATACTTCAAAGAAGTAATATTCAGTGGGAACAGATTTTTCACTTAGTAATTGACAAAACAAGTATATATTTTTAAATGTTCTTATACAGTMGATCTAAAATCAGATGGTCAGTGAATATAGTGTAATTTAAAATAGTTAATAGCATGCTGTGAATCTGTTGAATGGACGTTTTTGAAGGGSAGCCATGAATCTGAGACAAAAATACAGGACTTGTGTTTTGTGATTGGAGTGCTGGCATGTTGAAAATTGCACATTAATATTTTATGGAGTATAACCAATTGAAAATGGTCTCTAAAGGTCATCTTTGATGACCATCTTTGATGCTGATGTGGTATGGAAATTTAGTGGACAAAGATTGATTATAGAAGTTCTTCACAAACAYGCAGTTGTCAGGTGTTTTTTTGGGCGCTGTAGTGGTATTATTGGATATAGATCTGTGGAATTATGGTTTGCTATACAGAGGTGTTCAGGTAGGTCAGGATTAGCCTAGTGCTCCCAGTTTTGCACCAACCAACACTAGCTCACTTATTGCATTATTCTGTGCTGCACCTCAGTTTCACTTGCACTTACCTTGTTAACAAACAACKTGGGTGTTGATGTTCTGCTGCTGTCCTGCCACATGATGAGTAGTATTGATGTCTTGTATCAAAACAAGGGGCTTTGGCAACTGAAAAGTTTCAGTGATTTTTCAGAAATAGAAAAGTCAGTTATTGTTTTTTGTCTCATTCTAACACCTGCTTAATTTATTATAGTCGAGGTAAAAAAGTACTTTTAATCCATTGGTGCTCTTCTTTGGAGCAGTGGCAGGAAAATAAGCTACTGATATTTTTAACTGGAGAGGGATCTGGGTGTTTTTCTCTGTTTCTCCAAATATGACTTGCAGGACTTAATGCTCCCCAAGTTCTAACTAGCAGTAAGGCATTAGTGTGCAGCAGTTTTACTTGGTGCTTTTTGAAATCCCCTCCTTTTTAGTTAGTAAATCAGCTGGAACTTTTCTCTAGGTTAAGCACTTCAAAGATTATCAAAATGATAGTTTACTCTATCATTTCATACACAGCAGAGATTAAKATCTAGCTTTAGTTGCTCTAAATTTGTGTCAGCACAATGAGGATAGTTTTCACCTCTGTTTTGCCTTTTAGGATGCTGGGACTCTTCATCCGTGGTATTGARGAAAACAGCAGATCGAGGCGTGATGGTCTTTTCTATGAAAATGAATGCATTGTGAAGATAAACCATGTGGACCTTACAGATAAAACCTTTGTACAGTAAGTGCTGGTTTACTGATACTTTTAACAAGTCACAATTTTATGCAGTGCTATGTTTAAGTGATTTGTTAAGGGATTAATACTTATTTCAGGTAAAATGCCTGTAAAATTGATGTGCGGCAGGAACTCTGTAATTTTCTTTCTGAAACCTCCAAATAAGGTGAAATTTGAGGAGTTTTAATGAACTTACTGTGCTTACTTAATAGCATTAAGTTTTGTAATTGCTGTTTTGCCTTTCTAGTTCTTCTGTTACTTTTACTGTATTGTATTTTTCCATATAAGACCTTTACAATGAGTCAACATCACAGCATGGTTTTTAATGTTCTTTTGCAAATGAAATAAGATTTTTTTCTTGTGCTGCAGCTTTTTTGAGCATTTAATTTTAAAAATAATTCTGCTACTGTCAAACTACGATTAGTTGAACTAAATGGTAAGTGTGACTTCTTATGACTTTTATAAAGTCTGTTGACATTTATTGTCTATCTCCAATATTTTTTAAGTAACAGGACGTTTTGATCATCTGTGAATTAATGTGACATTGTTGCACAAAAGAATAGCCTCTCAAACTTCACAGATATTTGCTGTAGTAATTAAATACTCATTTGTTTTTGCTTTTAATCCATATGTTTAGACAACTGGGCTATTGTAATATAACAAAAACCTATTGAGATGTCAAGGGAGCCAAGGCTTAACTTTCTAAACAGTAAACAGAATRTTCAAGACTTCTAGACTAAAATCAAATACATAATTTCACAGTTAGGAATAAATATTGTGAAAATAGGTTTTCATGAAACTAGAATAGTTCTGTAGCATAGGTATTCTTGTTTCTGAAACTGTGCTTTTTGCTTCATGATAGCTTTTCAGTTACAGCTTTCTGCATATTTGGCAGTAAGAGCACYCTTCTGTGATAAAGTACATGCCATATTCTTCCATCCATGGAAATTTGAAGGAAAATATACCAATTTTAGCAGAACGTAATTGTTGGTATCTTATTAAAGCATCTGTTGCCTCATTGAGCATTTTATAATGAAATTTCTCAAAGTAAGTTGGGCTTGAAGCAAAACCACTCTTTGCAAAATCATATGTGATCTTTTCTTCACAATGGGTAGTCTCCCCTGTGTTTTCCTCTGAATGTAACTAGATTTCCAGAGGCTTTCAGCCAGTCAGATGTTTGTGGAGTGGATGACTCTGTGTGTTTTTCAGTAAAATTACTAGATTTTTGAGCAATTCAAAATACTGCAGTAAACTTTCTAATTCTCTGTCGGGCCTTCCTTCAAAATGAAACATATACTTTCTAAAAGCCTGTGTGAAGTTTGGGGACTTGGAAGGACTGTTTACYGTAAGAGTTAGCTTAGAGAGACCAGTCTTGTTAGACTCTCTGTCACTGAGAGAGAGAAAAGTGATTTAACGGYGATTCAGAGCAGAGCCTAATTTTGTTGGTCAAAGTTTCCTCATGTTACAAAACCAAGAAGTGTGGTTGTGGTGGCGTTGTATCTGAGGAGAAAAAACACCGGTATTGASGGCTTAATGTCTGTTTAGGGACTTGGGGGAATGTTTTGGATGAGCCTATTCCCAAGTCTTGCATTGTTTTGCTGAACTGTTTTCCAAAATAGCCTTCTACATGGTCTCTCTTCCCTGGCTGTGGAGAAAGGCTAAAGGAGGGTGCTTTCCAGGYTGCAACTAATCTCCGTGAACATGCRCTTTAGTTTTCATCTGGCATGGCATAACTGTACTAACCTGACAGAAGTCCAAGTTACAGAAATCCARTAATTGTAAAAGATACAACAAAGTATTGTTCCAATGACTGTTGACCCAGAAATGGCAATCAGATTCTCCTTTGAGAGGAAAATCTGTTGGCTAGTTTCAAATTGACATTTCTTCGTAACCCTTGCAAAAGCTGTTTTAACACTTAGAAGAGACTGTTATATGCTGTCTCTTTCTAATTTCAGCAGATRCTTTTTAGTATTACTCCTGACAATTGCTTCTGCTGCAGCTGGAACRGCAGCAGCCTACTTTCTGTATTCCCATGTTTATAACAGCCATATATTGGGATGGTTGGTCTGCTTTTTCATTTGCTGCTAATCTATTAAATTACRTTCTGTTGTGCTGCAGAGTTTCTAACACCTCTCTTAACTGACTCCCTTCTTTCTTTAAAGTATGCAGTTGGGGTTTCAATAAATATAAATTTCTCCATTCATTATTTTTTCTCTTTGAAGTGCAGCCAGCTATTTTGCCCCCGAAGACTGCATTTAGACTTTCCCATAGGACGTCTAGAGTTATTTCCACTAATTTTTGTTTGAAGGGGATCTTATGTTTTCTCTTGCATATATTTAAATATTAATCTTTTGAAACTGAGTTATTAAATTACCTTGTAACATATGACCAAATGACTGCTTGCAACGATGAAGATGGGGTGTGAAAGAAACCCAGTTAAGATTTTACATCCTTATGCTGGAAGCATGCCATGGTTTCTACCATCAGGGTAAGGCCTGTTGTTGAGAACTTTTACAGGCTGTAGGTGAACAGATAACCTATAAGCTCTGCAGACACACTGAGGCACAGTCTGTTAGAGCTCTGAAACCCTGAACCCTTGAGGGTGATGCTGAAAGAATGCCTTCATACAACATGCTCCCTGCTWACTTTCTTTTCCAAGTTTGAGGTTTCTCTCTGGCGACGTCTCCAAAGAATGAACGTTGCTATTCTGACTCTTGGTGCTCGTACACTCAGTGTGGCAAAGATGGTTCTTTCCCACAGGAAGACTGACCCCTGACTTTAATGTCTTCATGCTACAGAAAACCCTCTTGAAAGAGCCTCTCCTTTCCACCACCTACAGCTGCAAGGTGGAGGTACTGTGCAGCTCTGTTCATCTGGGAAAGCATTASGTGTATTTTCAAGACATTTATATTTGCAATGGCTTCCTTCCTGTGTCAGTGTAAAAAAAAAAAAAAAAATTCAAAAGTACCTTCAATATTTTACATAACTGAATGTAAGTCCAAAGCCAGAACTTCAGCAAAATACTGTCTGAGACTGACAAACACGCTAGAGAAAGATGGAAGATAAGTTACAATGTTCTTAGAAGGACTCCATGATTTATTTAAAATGTAATGTAGCCGTTACTTCCCCTCTTGCCCCAATTGAGCTAAGCAGAGGTTTTCAATTTTTAATTCTCAAGATGTGCTTCAGCTACTGCTTCTGTTTGTACTTAAGTGGTCTTCTTCAGTATGGAAGAGAATCAGTCCACTTCAACAGAACGTAGGAGAGGAAAGCGTAGGAAGAGGGAAGTCTCCTTTGTTGCTTTAGAATTCAARGTTTGTAACATGGCTTGATTGACCGAATCTATGGGTTATTTAAAATCCAGGGAAGGCTTCATGAACGATTCTTTTGGCCAGCTTATCTGAATTGCCTTATGACACATGGGAATCTGAGCACGGTTTCATTGCCATGTTATCAGTTCACAGAATCATAGAATGGTTTAGGTTGGAAAGGTCATTAAAGATCTTCTGGCTCCCCACAGGCATGGACAGGGATGTTGCCCACTAGGTCAGGTTGTCCTGGGCCCCATCCAGTGTTCCCAGGCAATGTTCAAGGSCAGGCTGGATGGGRCATSTACAGCTTCTCTGGRCAACTTGTTGAAGTACCTCATAACCCTCTGAGTAAAGAATTTCTTCCTAATGTCTGATGTGAATCTCTCTATCTCTCTTAGTTTAAAACTCTTCTTTTGTTCCTGTCACTATGGAGGGGAGTAGTTTCATTAAATGCTCTGTCACAGTTTCTGGGGTTGCATTTGAGCTCATCTGTAAAGACATTGGTGCTGTAAGTCTGCATAGCCACTTAGCACAAGGTTACTGCTTGAAAGAYGTGAGTAATAGTAATGAGTAATAGCAACCCATTTATTTATCCATTTATGTAGAAACAGGAACTGTTTCATCTTTTGATCACCTATTTTTTTTCTAATATCTATGTATCCCATACCCTCATCCTATTTTATTGCTGTGGAATCAGCCAGCAGTGGCATTAGGGATTACAAAGAAATCTGAGGAGCAATTACAGTGAACTTGGAAAAAATGGAAAGTTGAGCTTGCTTGTACTTGATGTATTCACCAGAACAATTGGTGAGGAATGCTTAATGTGCCTCTATGCCAGCAAGAAAGCGTGTTACAGACAAGCACTTGAAAACAATAGCAAGCTGTAACTTCTGCAGTCTTTTGATGAGCTTTTGCCATCAGAACTTCCCTTCCTTTCCTGCATGAAGAATCGTGTTCATTAATTTATTCTGGAATTTCAGAAATTTCATAAATTCCTAATTTATTATGAATTTCAGCAAACATGCTGCTCCTGTTTGAAATGTAAGGAAATGCTGTAGTTTTGAAATATTATTTCATGTGTACTTTTCTAAAAAAAGGACCCTGTAGATGTGAAGATAAGAAAAGTTTTCATCTTATTTTCTGTAAACAAGTTCAGATTTTGCCCAGATTTTCTGGTTTGTTGCGTAAATTTTCATGCCTTTCTTTTGAAGGGCTCAGGAYATCTTCCGTCAGGCAATGAAATTTCAAAGTGTCATCTTGGAAGTCCTTCCTCCATATAATCGGGAAAAATATGAGAAGTCTGCTATTGCTCCTCTTTGTATTCTGAATAATGAAGAAGGAGTGACAAAAACAAAAATTCCACCTCCTCTTCATCCAAAACCTGCTGTGAAAATGATTAATCTTTCTGGAGCAAGCTTGGAGTCAGGTGTACAGGGAACACTGCAACAAGCTAAGAGCCCCAACCTCCCACGACTGGGTAGAAAGCCATCTTCTCCCTCACTGTCTCCCCTTATGGGCTTTGGCAATAAGAAAAATGCAAAGAAAATAAAGATAGACCTCAAAAAAGGTAAGTCTTTTGAGGTGGTATGATTAATTCTGTATCGTATTCTCTATAGTGATACCTTAACTTTTAATTTAACTAGCAATATTAAAATTACAAGCAAGTTATTTACCATTTAAAAGTTCTAAAACCTTCAAAAGATATAGAAATGTTTACAGTAATTTTTTCCATAGTGGGCTTTCTYGTAAATTTTGGATATGTTATCCAGATCTACTGATTCTTAAGACATCTCTGTTACTGACTGTTGTAGCAACTCCATTAGCAACAAGTGATTTTAAGAGCTACTTCAGTCTTTTTGCAAGTATAGAATAAAAGTTTGAACTRTTTGCTGGTGACCTCTATTATTTTATTCAATCTGCTATTTGACCACAACACTGTTATGACATTCTTTTAAATATATGTTTAAAAATATACTCAGCTCTCTTTCATGTTTTCCAAGAGCTCCACTAAACATTTACCTGTCCTTTCCTTTTTTATTTTTTGCAAACCTGATTTTTTTTCTGTCATATCTATTCAGCTCTCAGGAGGCCAAATTTGTGTGTAAATCTTTAATTGCTGCTCCATGCAGCTGTCTGTCTTTGAAGGGTATACCAGGTTTAGGAACATGTAGTAAAATGTGCATAAGCAGATTTGAATTAGCATTTGTATTTTCTAGTTAATTTCTGTCTCTGATTTGGCTAAGAGTTAAATTTGATCCTAGAAGTGGCCCCTTTGAAAACTGTAACTTTATTCTATTAACACATTGTGAATGTAATCAAGATCTCATTTCTTAATTTCTGTTGTTTCTCTGTTTGAATCACTCATTTTTGCTTGTGAACTCTTCAGCTTTGTGTTAACAAAACCTWCTTCAGAATTTTGCTGTTCTAGATCTCATTTTTTGATTTTGAAACATTTATATTTTTTAGAGATTATGCCAATGTGATACTGATGCGATACCTTTGAAAACTAACACATGGGTAGTAACACTAGTCAATATTAAAAGATTTCTATGGGTTCTGCTATTCCTGGTGATTTTAGTGGTTTGTAAGCAATACCTGCTAGTATTTTCTGTACTCCCTAATTATTTGTTGTATCTGTTAACACTTGATAACTGTGTTATTTCCAAGCAGAAAACACTTCACTAATGGAAGCTTGGAAATACCACTTTATCCTTTCTGAATGTACATCATCAGTCTTTGTATTCAAATCATGTGATATTTTCCCCGTTTACCAACTTTGAATAAAACCTGCTAAATTATATTTATGCTYATAAATAAACAATCCAATTGCTCTCATTCTATGAAAGATGATTGACATTAATGTGAAGACTAATCTTGAAATTACCTAAAGAAAAGATAATTGCTTTAAAAAGAGTTCTTGCTTGTTTTTTAATATTGTGTGCTTACCAAAAGTATTTTAATCTGTACCTATTGTAGGAGGATTTGGGTATGTGTTTGGACATTGATAGACTTCTCCTAGACCATGAGGAAAATTGGCTCATGTTTACAGCTTTTTGTTTGCTTTATTTTTTAAGAGTTAATCTGAATGAGTCTTTGGGATATCTTGCTGACGTTGTTTGCTTACTTACAGTGATCATCATTTACGTGTTGAAATTCATGTTGTGAGTTCTTTATCTGACACTCTAGGTCCAGAAGGACTTGGTTTCACCGTTGTTACCAGAGACTCTTCAGTGCATGGTCCTGGTCCAATCTTTGTGAAGAATATTTTACCAAAAGGTGCAGCAGTAAAAGATGGTCGTTTGCAGTCAGGAGACAGAATCCTGGAGGTTAGGATAAACATGCATTGTGTTTGCATTGCTGAAAACCGATTACTAGTTTKGTCATAAATCTTTTATTTCCTCATACATATTATTGATGTATGGAACTACAGTTCTTGCCCTTGGTTTAAAAAAAAATCACTCTCACAGCTTCTGTGCCACTGGTTTGTCAACAGGTGTTTTAATCCATGAGGTGGAAAAGCTATTTTTTTCACAAGGGTCCATGGGGTGTTTGAACAAGGGGAACCCATAAGRTCTTGGTTTTCAAAGCAGATAAATGTGTTGGTTTAGGAGCAAAACATGTCTTGCCTCTTCAGCGACATCCAAAAAACTCCAGGTAATATCAAGCTGTTCAAGTGTTCATTTTAAGGCAGTTTTTTCCAAATTGATCTGTTTAAAATTTTCGGCTATCTTGTGATTTACAATCATATTATCTAATGGGTTAGTTCTACTTACTAACCTCAAAAAGCTCTAAGGTAAACTATTTAATACTAAGGTCTTGTTTCTGCACTTTTAATCTTCAAAGTGCTTTACAAACTAATTAAACCTCACAAACCCCCTGCAASGTGGGTAAGTACTACAGAGTTGCTTTAACAGATGGTGAAAATGAGGAGGAAAAAGGTTAAATAATTTGTGCCGGGCCAGATGGGGAAGATGGTGTGGGAGCTGCTGCTAATTTTTCTTTGCTCTCAGTTACTGAATGACGCCTGTGCTAGGTGAGTGGAACCCAGTAAACCTGATAAAAATGTCATWCTCAGAGATATGACATCCTCTGTTCCTTCGTGTCTGGTAGGTGAATGGACGGGACATCACSGGCAGGACCCAGGAAGAGCTTGTAGCTATGCTGAGGAGCACAAAGCAAGGGGAAACAGTCTGTCTGATTGTGGCTCGTCAGGAGGAGGCCTTTCTACCTCGAGAGCTGGTAAACTTGTTATTCTTTCCCAAAGAGTGATTTTGAAACAATTCCATGTCGTAAAACTAGCCCAAGAAATAGAAATGAACTKCTGTCGGCTGAGGAAGCCAGCAGAAGGGTGTCRTGTAAGGTTTRTTTCTGAAGAGCTTTTATGGTTACYTTTGATTTTGAGGGATATCTGATTTTTATCTACTTTAGATGGAATTCCACACAATCTGATTTTTCATCCCCAAAAATGACAGCATAAGCATAACTCACAGGGGAATGCTGTAAATTAATTTTGTGTGAGGTCAAGCATAACTAAAAATGGGTTATTCTCTTTCAGAAAAGCAACAAGCTTTAAACTAGAAATTTACAGTCCATGTAATGAGTCTGCAGCTTATCAATAACAAACTCGTGAGGCTGGCTATCCCCAGGAGATGTCTCCTAAGCCAGGTGCCCAACTGCAGGAGTGGTGAGGAATAGAATTCCAGGGCTCCTGTCATTAATTTTGGAAACAAGCTTTTGCTTGGCTGCTAGCCTTTGACTTAATAGGCTTTTGCTCGTCTTTGTTCCATCCCAAGTGCTTAATTTTCACTTTTTTTTATTAACACTGGCGTGCAACTGTGTTCTCTTTTCTCTCACCTAGGCAGAGGCCTGCATCAGTGTAAAAGTGTTATCTGATACATGCTTATTTCCCCTCAGAGAAGGTCATCTCTTTGGTTGCCTCTTCCTTATCTTGATTGATGGCTATACTTGACCTTTCATTAAGTCCTCAGGATCAGGGAAGGACAGCATTTCCTGCTTTTGTCTCATTTTATCTCCTTCAAAGAACACAAACCGCCTTCATCCTTTCCTTAAGATTCTTTTCCTTTAGACTGTTGTCACGATCTTTTACAGAAATCCTCCATTATGTTTCCTCACAAAACATTGCTGACAGTTTTCCTCCTGTTTCCTTGTTACCAGTTGGACCTTACTGAGGTCAGGGTTGCCTATGGTAGGRTAGGAAGCTGGAGGGGAATTCAGGTTCTCTCATGTGAGAACCCTTCTTTCCCTTCTTTCCCTTTTACCACTGGTGCCCATGTTTTCTTGTAGTAGAGCAGCTGTGAAGTGTCATAGCAAAACTATTTTTGTTTTCATTTTTCTCTTTTATTGTGTATAAAGGAGTATAATGGCAGTGTTCAGCCTTTTAATTGGGCATTTGYTGTCAGCAATTCCCAAAGCATCAAAGTTGGTCATTGCATTGCTCTGCTGAGTAAGCCCTGAGCTGTAGAGTCAGTGTCTGTATGGATCAGAGGGAAATTTCTGAGTYTTAAAGCGCTAAACTACCTATTCTATGTAGAATTTCTTTTCATCCACTAGCTCTTACAAATAAGAGCTTATTTTTTGAAAAAGCTACCCACCAACAGTGTTTTCATGGGTTTTTTTTGAGTTAGAAAGCTTATTGCTTTGAGAATGTACTTTGTTAAAAAAGTGTGCATTCTTCTCTCTCCTGTTCCCCCAACATTATACATTGTTATGTATTGTCACAGTACAAATTCTGCTGGAAATCACTGTCACAGTGTGGGCATAAAAGACTGGAAGAATCTAAAAGCTATTTATAATTTTTACATGCCACAGTTGTGTGATATTAAATTCTAGTCTCTCCAGCAAGGATTAACTACCTTTCAAAAGGTGATTTACTTATGACTGGCATGATTGAAATCCAGGAAGTAGCCACATTTATCCTGCTGGCTTGACCTTCGCTTAGATTGCTTTGTCTGTGAAAGAATGATGCACAACTGATGGCTGTCACTGGAACAGTGATGATATGGGAATTCTAATACTGCTCTATGTTTCTTGTTATCTCAAGTACAACATAATACAAATTTTGAATTACTGAAATACATTAGATAAATCTATGGAACCAGCCCATCTAAATTAAAAAGCCCTTCAGCAACATCTGGTAGCTCACAGTGAAAGTGAGAGTTACCATACCACTAAGCTACCAGATGTTGATGCTAACATGATGCTTGTTAGAATTCATGAGATGTCTGAGAGTAGTCTCAACAAAGATTAAAAAAAAACAAATTAAAATTGGTTTAGCTTTTTTTGTTTGGTTTCAGCTTTAGCCATGATATTACATTGGACTAATCCTCTTCTACCTCAAAAGTTACAGTACTGTTTTGATCAAAGAGGAGGAAAATGCCAGCACTTCAAATGTTTGTTTTTGGAAGGAAAGGCACTGGATAATCCAATGTTTTTCAAGGACAGCTGTAAGTGAATGCCCTGTCTGCATAGCATGCATGCAGAATTTACCTGAATACTTGAGGATTTTGTTAATGCCTGGCAATAATATTATAATTGCTTTATAATAGACTGGTTCTTGCTTTGAGCAGTTCTCCAGGGACTGTAATCTGAGATGGTTTCTTTAGWTTCCCTGTTACCTGTTGAAAGGAAAAGGAGAAGGGCCAGCTAGTAAATGTGCCCATTCTCCACAGCTTCCTGTGGCAAAGATGCATCTGGAAGCTGGGCCCACCAGAAACCATGCACAAAACCACTTTTGAGCATGTGGCTCTACTAGAACTGGGGTTTTATGTGGATTTGCTGAAGAGAATTTGATAACTGCATGGGCACAAAGCAAATAATGTAATGAAGTCACACTGGGTGGCATTTGGTTGCGTAGRTCCATCATAATATAATTTGACTTTACCTTGTAGTAAAGCTGYGGCTTGGAGAAAGCTTGGTCTCACRGATATTTTTCTTCAGTAAGATAGATGGGAGCAGAGTTTGGATGTTTTTTTACTGTGACYTATGCTTATAAATTGCTAGCAAAAAGAAAAATATATTCAGAGTAGGAAGCCTTTGCCGCAGCATCTGAGATGTGATATGGGKGTGGATGAATCAGTGTTGCAAACAGGCATTATTAAATTATAGGGAACTGGGACTTTGGTTACACTGGCCCATGCAACATCTGGGAGTTATACAGTTGCAGTGTTTGTACRTAATGAGGGGAAAGAATTGAAAACCCAATATTTGTAGCGTTGTTACTCCTTAAAAAAAAAAGGAGGCCCTAATGAGATTTTTTTTATATATTGGAAGAGATCAGTGAAGTAGAATTTGGACCAACAACAGGCTGTCCTCCTTATTATCCAGTTAGCCAAATGTTCCCAGTAATCCATGCCAGCTGTTGACAATGTAGAAGCTAAGTAAGGAGCWGATTCCAAAACTCTGGGGGGAAGATCTTGATTCACTTAATTACCAMTGTCTACAGAGTGGCCAGTGATTAGTGTGTTCTTTAAGGTGCATTTGTGTTTTAAACCATRTAACACTCTTTTCTAAAGGATAGTGACTATTACAGAAAGAAACTGGTTTTACTGAACGGTGTTATATTTTCCAGCTCTTCTCAAAGTAAATAGAATGCACATCAAACTGTGGATATCATTCTGTTGTGTTTTGGAAATACAGTATTTTGATCATGTGTATCTGTTTCATCATGTTTTTTCTCTAGGGTAAATGTGTGGTCTGAAAGTGCGATTTCTTTTAATAATGATGTAAAAATAACTTACCTCCCCTTCTCTTTCTTTATCCCTGCATTGGTAAAACAAGACAAACTACTTGAATGAGAACAGCTATGGTGTGACCCATTTTGTGCTGTGATCCTGTGCTGTTTTTYATTCTGTATGATGCTCATATGCAGAAGAATGTGACTGCTCTGAAATTGCCAGAAATAGTATAGCATCAAAAATATTTGCRTGCATTTTTCTGTAAATTAGAGCACATACATTGTAATTTTTGCATACGCTTTATTTTTTGTTATAAAGATCTCTTTGACTTACCAGTTGCAACTGTAATTGCTCTTTCTGTGGTTTTTGGGCATATTAACTGATCCCTGAGGAATKGGGGGGTGACAGGAAACAAACCATCATTTTTATAACAATAGCTAAATGAACAACAATGTACTGTACGTTGTCTTGGTCTTTACACCTTTTTTTACACATGTATTGTACAGGATTGAAGGAAACAGGATGAGTGGCAAGTTCAATTAAACATTTTTTTCTACTTACCATGTGATTAACTTTCATGTTTTAGTGTTCCCCTTGTTAATTTCTTCCACTGCCTTGAACTTATATGCCTGAAGGAAAATCAGTTGGCCTATTTGTTTTTAATATTCAAAGCTTAATTTCTATTACTTCCTTTTAATTGTTGCTTGCCTCTTTATGTGTAGGAAATAATAGGTGAAATTACAGCCTAGACTTAACCACTTTTGCACATGTTTTTGTAGGACAAAACAGTGGTTCTARTGCTCAATTCTCCAGACAAATAATTTCAGCCAGAAAGTGATTCCAGCAAGTACCATTTCCCTGTTGTGTTACTTCTGTACTAAGGGAGATGAATTGGATAGGGAAAAAAAGAAGTAAATACTGAATTTTAATAGCATATACAAGAAGGRCTTCTTGAATTGTTCTGTGTAATGRAGTCAAGGAGATTGTGAGTGCATGTGACACTTTTCACCATTTTAAAACTATGTGGATTTTAAATATCCAGGAAGTTTTGAAGGAAACTTTATTTTTGGACCTATTTTCTTTATCTGTAATAGTTGAAAAGTGAGTGTAGGTTGTGTCTACACAAATGTACATTTTTAAAGAGMAAACACTGTGTAGTGCAGTCCCTCAAAGGTTTTCTGCTTACATGTTTCAGAAGATGATCCATTATGTCTTTGAGTGATGGAAACTCTGCTTTGAGGTTCATTGAATTGTTACTTTGCTCTTTACATAAGTCAGTGAGAGATCACTGTTAAGAAGGAATGYGACAATCTTTCCTGTCACACTGAATAGTATCTCTTTATCCAGGGTTTGGGTGGGACTCCCTAAATCACCAAAGGGGAATAAACTGCTTGATAACTCATGTAGCTAAAAAGTGGGGTGTTTTTTTGTTGTTTTTTTTTTTGTTTTTGTTTTTTTGAGCTCTCCTGTGCAGTGAAGTACCCACAAAGGTAGCAGCGCAGCAAATGTGATTTTCCATCTAATAGCAGTTGTCAGCCTTTTGGA